TCTTTTTGTATGTGTCTTATATATATATATATATATATATATATATATATATATATATATATGAAGACTAGGTGATTATTTGCAAGGTTGAAATGTTAAATTTAAAATTTTTAGGATTTTTATGTTACAATCTTTGAAGAGATTGAATATAACATTTCAACCACAAAATTATTAAATATAATATTTTAACAACTCAAAATATTAAATATAACATTTTCATCATCTAAAGCTTTTAATCAAAGGCTTCAATAGTTAATGAAAAAAATGATTAAAATATTCTATTTAATTTTTAAGTACTTTGTAATTCATTACAAATTTTTAGTTGTTATATAATAAATGTAAAATTTAAGAAGTTAGAAATGTAAATTAGAATAGTTGAAGCTCATTATTTCCATCCGCACTCTCTTGCCCCTCCACAAGTGAGCAAAGTACGCAGTGCCGACCCGAAGCGATGTGCAGAGGGCAGCATCTCCGCGATGATCTCCAGCGGCCAGCCTCCACGTTAACGATGACTACAATGACGGCGCGTCTAGCTGTGACAAACGTCGAGCTGGCGGCGGCGAGGGCCAGGCTTGTCGAGTCGATGGCGCAGCTCGAGCGGGAGCGCGCTCGCGCTGCTGATCTTCGCCGGCGCCTGGCGGCGTCTTACGCCGAGCGAGATCGGCTCCGGAAGCTTGCTTCTGTTATGGACATTATACGGTACCGCATAGCCTCCAAGAAGCTCCTCCTTGAAGCCACATCTAGGACCCGAGCTGACTAGGGTTATTCTTTTTTTTGGTAAAACAAACCCTGGCCTGAATCTTACTATTGTGTTGTCTGATAGATTCGTTGTTTTGGTATTTGGTTTATGACAGCTCATGTATTGTATTTTTTGAACTTTTTTGATTTATGTAGCCGATCCCACTTAGTGGGATAAAGACTTCGTTGTTGCTGATGTAATTTGCTTAAGAATAGGCTTTTTTTTCTTGCAATAAAATCAATTTCTAGTTCGTATCCAATCATTGAATCTCTTTCAACAGTTCATATTCGATAATTCGACTGCTTGCTGTAATACCATGGTCTTTTGCTTGTTGATATTGCTCCACTATTAGGGACTACCGTTCTGCCCTTGTGCTGCCCTCATCTATTGCTATTGTTTAATTTTTAGAACCTGACTTGTAGTAAGAGTATCCCAAGGGCTAATATGTTGGGTTATTATATTCTAGAGAAGGATCTTGTTGTGAATTGTGAATAGAAGACTAAAATCGAAGTAGAGAAATGGAGAAGTTTTCTACACTGTAAATAATGCATATGGTACATTTGATTTGATAATATTGCTTCAGGAAACCTCCAGGAAATGCCTTTATGTTTTCTACTCTCTTGATTTTGGACTTTTGTTCTTCTAATCAAAGGGTAGCTTGGGATCATGAGGTCACTACAAAAGATTTGATATGTGGTCGACATTTTTTTCATGATTATTTTCTTGTTTCAACAAGTAGGGCTATGATTTGTGATTTATGCTTATTTTCTTGCGACACTATTTGTTTTAGTGAAAATTGAATGCATCGTTCCATATAATTGAAATGTGGCTTATTCACAATGTTTTAGAGTTATTTTGTTTGGTGCAAAACAAACGCATGCATTTACATTTTTTATTTGGTTTGAGGAAAATTAAATCAATGTAAAACACTGGGGTGGGGTGGTGGTTAGGCAACCCGAGACTAGAGAGCATTGGCAACCGGTCGGCGACCAACAAAACTTAGCTCTTGCAATGTATTTGAAATTCAACAAAAATGGTGAATTTCAAATACTTGAAAATTTTACAATGCATTCTATTTACTTTGAAACAAATACACAAATTTAAAAAATGCACGCATTACTTTTATTTTACATATATTTTTTTTCCAAACCAAATAGCCCCTAAGTGAATTAATCATCAATTTTATGCTAAAAGGTCCACTGAGGGTCTCACAAAGTAAAAGCCACCTATTGGTTGTGGATTATGTTGTTGCTTTCTAAGGGGAAAGAGTTTTCAAAGCTAATGGCCTGACAACATTACTTGAGGTAGTTGGAGGTATAATTGGTAGCGTAGTAGAAGTAATTTTGTGCTCTTATTTTTTATGCTAATAAATTTGGAGTACTGGGCTTCCTTGACTTTGATTAGGGTGGAGTTCTTGTTGGTTTTGATTTTATTATTGGCTTGGCCAAGCATGATATGCTTTATAGTTATTTTGGAGGGAATCATAACTCAACACCCTATGAACTATAATGGATACCTTTCCATGAAGTAGATTGGTTTTCAAGTCAGTTGCTACTCTTCAAGGTTTTACATTTGTTGAAATTCATAATAATGTGGAATAAAGTGTAATACTTCATTGTTTCATTGATATGAACGAGGGTATAAATAATTCTTACAAGAATCCTATAATATGAAAAATAATAAAAAACAAATGATATGAAAGGAAAAATATATCAAATAATATCTCCAATAATCAATTCATATTAATTATTAGGAGATATAAAAAATAACATAAAATAGGAAAATAAATAATTTCTAATTAAAGGAAATAAATATAAAATACGAAAATAAATATCTCCTTATATTAAGGAAATAATTTATTCCTCATAACTTCTTATAGGAAAAAATTACTTGCTATTATAATTATTAACACCCCCTCTCAAGTTTGAAATGTATGTAAATAATTCTTAATTTGCTGAGTAGTGAAAAAAAATTGGTCGTTTGGATCATCGAATTTGCTAAATTCAGTCTTTGCTGAATTTTGAGTTTTATATGTCATATGTTTCAGCCTAAAAGAGAGATTCAGGCCTGGGTGAATTTGCTGGATTTAAGCTTGACTGAATTTTGAGTTTTGTCTGCCATATGTTTTGATATAGAAGAGAGATTTTGGCTTGACTGAATTTGCTGGATTCAGACTTGGCTGAATTTTGAGTTTTGCAGAGAAAGAGACAACCTACAGGAAAATTGACTTTTAGTTGACCACAATTGTCATTGGCTGCAGAAAAAACATGTAAATCACACCCAGTAAATTATGCTGACAAAGAAAGCAACAGAAGAAATGACGGCTGGAAACAGGGCTGCCTCTGTCGCTT